ATAAAATTTTTTATAATTAATGTCTATTGATTATCTAGATTTACTCTCCACAGTTTAGGATTGTGCAGAGTACATCTGGATAATCAATACACATTAATTTAAAAATTTTAATATTAAATTAGTCTCGTTAAGTTAAATTAGATCAAATTAAAAATAAAAAAAATATTAAATTATTTTTCAATTTTTATACATTTTTATTTTAATAAATATAATATATAATAATATATTAAATATGGACCATCTATATTAAAATCTAAATGGTCCAGATCTCATTTCAAGAATGAGCAAGATGGGCATGAAAACCGAACCCAAAGATTTTTAAATCTCGGTGACAATTTGTAATTTAGTTGACTGGTGATATGCTTTCAGCATTTTATTTTATTTTGAAAAAATATGGCTAATTGTTCCAGGCAGGTAACATGCTTTCCCCTCTATGGTTTGTTTAATTTTTCACGTGCCTGCGTCGGTTTGTTTATTTGTTCCGTACTTATGGGTATATATACTCTTGTTTGATTGCTTGTTTTCAAAATCGTTTTCTGCCTTAAAAAATTAAAAAAAAAATGTTTGAAAATGTATTTTCTATTATCTATTCTAAAATAATAAAAAATATTTAAAAAGTTAAAATTTAAGGACTAAATATAATTAAAAAATCACGAACTAAAAATATATTATCTCTTACATATTTTAATTACAACAGTTGAATAACGCGATATTTACTACTTTACATTATAATAGTTATAATAGTTAAGGTTGATGAGAGTACGAAGTATAAATTACAATTTTTTAAGTGAACATTGCGGGGTTCGATTTTCGACATTTGCTGATAGAGCTCATACCCTGACCTCATTATCTTGAGAATGATTGTCGTTTCATTACTAGTAAAATATGCTGGTTGCCCTTGAAAATTGGAACTACTTGTTGATACATAACAAACAAGAAAACATATACAACATCTGAAATATAATTTGTTCGTCCAATCATAACCACCGTTTTTTTTTTTTTGGTCTTAATATGAAAAAATTATATATGAACTCAATACACAACTTTATTCATACTTCATCAAATAAAATCACGCAAATCCAATTAAATAGAATCTTATATGTTCTTCTTTGTAGTGACTTTAATTTTGGAAATAGAATGCACCTCTTTAATTGATTATCTTTTTTCTTTCTATCATTATCAATGATAAATTTAATTTATATTAACGGTCATTTGAATAATATATTTATTATATAGGATAGGATGACGTGGTGTATCAAGTTCGTATAAGAATTTTTACTTAACATGAGAGGCATTGCCAAACAAAATATTTCCAAATTTTTAATAAATGGCCGAAAGTTTCATGTAACATCCTGAATTGTAATATTTAGTTAAATAGCAAGATAATTAGGTTTAATTTATTAATAGAGTAGTGGATAGTTAAGAAGGCTAAAGATTAACGTGGTGTGTGGTTATAAAAAGCTAACATATGTTTTAAATTATGATTTCAACTTTAAAATTGAACTTGGAGTGAAGTCAGACCACTCGACATCAAAAAGTGAGAAAAAAAATAGCTTTGCACCATATGCCATAATGAGTACAAGGTATGCCGCAATACATAAGCTATCAAAACACAAAATTTACCTCTCTGTAATTTGATACGTGTAACACATTACGGAACGTGGCACAGAAAATGACAATTATGGTGCATTGCCTTGTTTTTTATTCTTAAATATTTTTCAATTAATTTTAATTTTTTCATTTTCAAAAGGCATCTCATACTTTTAAAATAATATTTTATTATGATTAAAAATTTGTTAAATTATTTTTGATTAATTTTAAATTATAAAAAATTTGGAATTTCATTTCTACAAGAATTCAACTTGGTAATTTTAAACTAGAGTTTAACTCATGATTACCTTGATTGTGTAATTAATTGTGTTTATTGAGGGGGATATTTCATCTCACACGGACGTATCATCACCATCATTATCGTTCTATAAATCGTAATTTAATCATAGGTTTTCTTTGTTTGACTAGCAGTAATTTAATCATATGCTGACGTATAACCTGTGGGATAAAATCATTAGGTTTTGCGCTTAACTAATCAAGGGTAATCATTATTCAAGTTTAATTGTTCGTTGACGTGATTTTGACATTTTGTATTGACGATAATGTACTAGATTTGGTTCACGTCGATGAAGTTCTGCCAGAAAAAGGCCAGGAAAAAATTTAGAAAACCTTGCCCCCTAGTAATAAAATATTTAACATTTTTTTTTTGGAAACCAATATTTAACATAGCTATCCAAATCCCAAGTGGATATATACCTGTGTGACGTGCATGCCAAACCTGTTCAGATAAAACTCTTGAGATTTTTACATGCGCGCATTGAATTGTTTTTCACTCTATTGCCACGAGGGTGAAGCTTTATTTAGGAATGCCGAGTTCTCACTGTTGAATTGAAGAATCACATCATGAATTGAGGATGCATATTTTTAGATCAATTTCATTATTTTATTTTCAAGTTCTTGAAGATATCTTTATTTAAATTCATCATGCAATTATTTTATAATTTTTAGTTTAATATCAAATTTTTAAAAAAATTCCTTTTACATCTGTATGATTTCAAAATTGTGCAACACAAGACATCCATGCATCCTGGATAATGTATTGACTTTTTTTTTTTCAAATGTACTCATTTAGTTAATTTTATTATTAAAATCTGTCTAATATATGATAACATTTTAAATTAAATTGAAGAAATTTATTTCAAAGCTTTTCATATTTTAAGTTATAAATGAATAAAATATGAAACTGTTACAATTACATTTATATATGCAAATGTTAAAAGACATACTAACAATATTTTTGACGAACGTTCATGTTGAGATCATCATTTTCATTATAAATTCATTGTTCAATTGCTATAAAAAGTCAACCAATTTTGTTAACGTGAACGTTATAAGTTAATTAATTTACAAAAAGTCAACCGATTTGTTAATTTTTTTTTGAATATACTTAAGTCATCGTTTTATCAATGCACAATGAAATGTTATTTCAGAGCAATTTTGTAACTCATTTATTTTCAAAAGATCATTTCAAAAAAATAGCCTTCTTCAATGAGTTTTTAAGATATTTATTTCATTAATTTTTTTAATTATGAATTCACGTAACGCACAGAATTTAATCTAGTTTGTACTATTAAAATTTGTTCCGACTGACTTAGAATTACTATATGCTGGTAAAAAAAAAAGATTTAGAATTATTATATATAATAGAGATGCAGTAAAGAAATTAAAGTTGTAATGTGAAGAAACCATATTGAATCTATGTGTTTTGATTTTTTTTTTGGCTTGCAACAATACATGCTACATTTATTTCATCCATAAAAAACTGCTTAAAACTCAAAAAAAATTGATTCATTTTATAAATAGTTAGCTTATAACTTATAACACTATAAAATCAAATGTCATTGTTGACGTGAGGTCATTGTTAGTGAATAATTTATAAGTACTTTTATATGTATTATTTAAACTTAGAAGTATATCTTGATGTTGATGAATCTCAAAAATTCAATTTATCTAAACTTTTAACTATATTAAAAAGTATTGTGCTTAAAAGATACTCCTTTTGTTTGAAAAAAAAAATATTTTTAATTAAATCTCACTTTCTTAATAAAATAATTATCTATTTTTAAATTAATTTTATATTTTTATTCTTATCCTTTATTTAATGGAGTATTTTACTCTAAAATAAATATAAAATAATTTATTCAATAAGAGTAAATTAAAAAAAGATAATAATTATATTTTAAAAATAAAAAATGTTAATATTTTTTAATACTTAACTTTTTAAAAAAATATTTTATATTTTCGAACGGAAGGAATATCAATTCTCCAATTCTCACTTGATCAAATCATGATTAATTGAACGTGGGCAGCTAAACTTGTAAAGTTTTGAAATGGATTCTTAAAAAATTATTGTAATTAAATCCACAGGATTCACACAATCAGAAGTAATAAAGTTTGGTCCATCATCGAAATGAACGTACAGATTACATTGGGGATAATACATTTTTACATATTTATTTCGAAATAAAGAATTAATCACTCCAATAAGGATTATGACTTGACCTAATCTCCCACAGAAATCGTGCCCTGGGTATTGCTATAGATAAATTAAGATAAGATATCAGGTTTTGAAGGACCTTTGAAAGCAAGATCTGGGCGTGGGATTTTCGTAAGTTAAGACGCGCGAGAACAAAAGGAGAGCTGCCAATTTAGCTGTCAGCGAGAGGGCGAGGCACGGATCTCGTGACACTCCTTTAATATTCTTTTTTTTAAAAAAAAAATCAATTTGTTCGTAGCGTATATATATTTTGGGTTAAAAGCCCTGCCTCTTAAAAAAAAATAAAATAATTACTCGTATTTAATTAATTGGTTTTGGACATTGGACAGCCAGGAGCAAACTGAGTAAACAGGTAGGAAAAACATTAGATAAGTAAATTTGAATTCAAAGATTATATTTAATACAGATATTGAATGAATGTGTTATGATTATAAATTTATATTTTATTTAAAATTAACAAATAAGTAAATTTTTCTTAATTATTAATATAAATTTTAATGATTCAGATGGTATAGACATTCAATTCCATATTTATATTAATATAATTATTGAATCTAAATCTTAAATAAGTAAGATTAACATGCCAAGAAGAAATAAATAATTTTGCTAAGTGACAGGAGAGAGGGGAAAAAAAAAGGAGAGGGAAGGAACGGGGAAAACAGCTAGGCAAGAATAAGTTTGTAACACGTGCAGAGAGTAGCGTTAGCGGTTTCGGTAGCCATGGCCGCAATCGCAAACGGCGAGTGTAGGCCCCACCTTCTTCTTCTTTCCCTGAAAAAATTCATTTATAAGTATTATACTATTCAGTGTTCACACATATGCATTACTCTCTCGCAGCCAATTGCGATTACAACTTGAAGGGAAGGGGGGGAGAGAGAGAGAGAGGGAGAGAGGGACAGGGAGGGAGGGAGGGAGAGAGAGAATCTAGACCCTTGTGAGGCACATCGCTCTCTAGTGTCTGCGCTGGGGCGTCGTTTGCAGACGGAGTCGAAACCTGCAGATAGTCCGCTCGCTCTTCCTGCCTCTTTGTGTAATTTGTAAGCTTGTCTTCTGACTCCCTTTTGTTTTTCGTTTTTTATGTGTGTTTAATTGATGGTCTTTTCATGCGCCGCCATGATTCGCTCCAATCTCTGGAAAGATAAAGTGGGGAAAGGCGTATGCGATTGTCGCCAATGCGAATTATAAGCGATCTCCTTTCTTTCTTTCTTTCTTTCTTTTTTTCTGGCTAATTTGTTGGAGGCTGAAAATTTGCGACTTTTGGATTTTGATTTGCATGTTGTCATTTTGATCGAGTTTTTGTTTTATTAGATTAATTTTTAAAATATTCCCACTTTTCTCCCGAGACTCCTATGTTGGCCCTGCTCCTGAGATCTCCTATGAGGAATTTTGCTGCTTAGGGCTATCTGTGTCGATTTTTCGTTTCAATTCGGATTATTGTATGCTTGGACTGGTACCACCAAGTCGACTCTCCTATTCGTTTTTGTAATCCTTATCGTTTTTCTGATGCTCTGCGTGCGGTTAATTTTGTGCCGAATCCTTGTTGAATCGAGGGTGCAAATATTTATATCGATTCTGTATGCCTTCTTTTATCCCGATCTAAATCTTCTATTGGCGAGGATTTCCCAAATGTTAGGTTTCTTGATTTTCTAGCTGACATGAAATTTGAATGTGTTTTATGAAACGTATAAAACTGATACATATCTTTCGTGATTGCTTAAAACTGGTATGATTCTCTTGTATTCATTTCTGTATTGATACATCTGAGTAATATCACTGTCGTCCTGCTGACAAACTGATGTTTCCTTTTTATTGGATGGTGTAAGAACTAAGAGACAAGGCTTTTCTTATGAGCAGATTAATAATTTCCAACAGCATGTTGGAGGGTCCATCTTTTCTTGTTGCAAGGGAGTTACCAAGTTCATGTGAGGAAGAGAGCAGGTGGATTTACAACACTGTTCATATAATGGAGCTCTCAAGCAACAAGCGCAGACTAGATCAAGGAGAACAAATGGTGTTAGGAAAGTCTTGCAAACGTTCAGATGCTCCTGAGGAAGGAGAAACACGGTTGAGAGTGCGTGACCTTTCCCTTTCCAATAACCAAATAAATGACCAAAATCATGCAGCTGATCAGTCAGATTCAAGCTCACTGATTTACCAACTTGGGCGGGATATGTCAATTAACTGTCTACTTCGGTGCTCAAGGTCTGATTATGGTTCAATTGCCTCAGTGAATCAGAATTTTCGATCTCTCATTCGAAGTGGAGAACTGTATAAGCTCAGGCGGCAGTTTGGTATTATAGAACATTGGGTTTACTTCTCTTGCAATCTCCTTGAATGGGAGGCATTTGATCCGAACAATGGTCGATGGATGCGCTTGCCTAGAATGACTTGCAATGAATGCTTTATGTGTTCAGATAAGGAGTCACTTGCTGTTGGTACCGAACTTTTGGTGTTTGGAAAGGAAATCATGTCTCCTGTTATTTACAAATACAGCATCTTGACAAACTCATGGTCATCTGCTAAAGAAATGAATACACCTAGATGCTTGTTTGGTTCAGCAAGCCTCGGTGAAATAGCTATACTTGCTGGTGGTTGTGACCCACGAGGCAACATCTTAAGTTCAGCTGAGCTTTATAACTCAGAAACTGGAAATTGGGAGACTCTTCCAAACATGAACAGAGCAAGGAAAATGTGCTCTGGCGTATTTATGGATGGGAAATTTTATGTCATCGGGGGGATTGGAGTAGGCAACTCAAGACAGTTGACTTCTGGCGAGGAGTTTGATTTGCAGACAAGGAAATGGCGTGAAATACCCAATATGTTCCCTGGTCGATATGGAGGGGCTGGGATAGCTGAGGCACCAGCTGCTGCTGAGGCTCCTCCTTTAATTGCAGTTGTAAATAATGTATTGTATGCTGCAGATTATGCTCTACAGGAGGTAAGGAAGTATGATAAAGTCAGGAACTTATGGGTCACCATTGGAAGGCTACCTGAGCGGGCAGCTTCAATGAATGGGTGGGGGTTAGCTTTTCGTGCATGTGGAGATAGGCTAATCGTTATTGGTGGGCCTCGGGATTTAAATGTGAGGGCGATCGAAGTGAATGCTTGGGTCCCTGGGGAAGGCGAACCTCAGTGGAACCTGCTGGCCAGCAGACAATCAGGGAGCTTTGTGTATAATTGTGCTGTGATGGGATGCTAAGATTTTGGTGCTTTGTGAATCGCTTCTGATTGGAATTAACAATCTTAAATTTTCAAGGAGATGGATTCTGGCTCATGGGTAATCTCTGCCCTCCTTTTTGGGGAAATTTCATGTCGTACTTAGAGTCATAGATACAGGTTTAGAAGTTTCACAGGTTGGTCATTTTTTCCCTTCCTTTTTCTAGTTTCTTTGGGTCCTTTTCACTTAAATTAGCATGAGGGTTTGTCAAATGTTGGCATCATGTAGGCACAGGCAAATAATGTGAACTGGTACATGTTGTGTTGCAATGACCATTTTTACAAATTTAATTGAAGCATTGCGGAATTGTAATTGATATCTCTTCTCATCTTGGCTTTCTCCTTCCTTTTTTTAATATGCTAGATATTAACTCATCTTATGTTCACAACTCTGGTGGCTTTTACCCTCTTATTCTAAATATCCTCCAACTGCGGAATGTACAAAAATAAAAAGGAAAACACAATAATCGGTGTTTATAGTTTCATTGGTTTTTGTTTTTAATTCCTGTATTTTTTTCAAGTATTTTCAATCCCTGTAGTTGAGAAAGACTGGCCGATGTATGTTCTTTAGGTCCCTATAGGGACTAAAAACATTGAAAAAAAATTATAAAAACGAAAAGCAAAACCTGATGAAAATATAGGTATCAATATTTGTGTTTTCACAAAATAAAAAGAAAGAGAAAAGAACGTAGGAATAGGCTGGAATCTCGATAGCCTCATGTATGAAAATATCTTGCCTTCTTTTTTCTTATTATTTCCTTCTGAAGGGATTGAAAGTTGTGTGGTTTACTTCTTGTTGGAAATATAAACGTGCTTAGAAATCTGAGCATACATGTTAATGTAACAAGCATGAAGAAATTCAATCAGATTATACTGTCAATGACAGTTAAGTTTATTTAATCCAAACGAGACTGCAAGTCCCCTTGCTCCGCTAAAAGATCCTTTCACCATTGCTGGGTGAGGTTTGGTCGTTTGGACGTTGTTGAGCTGCTGGCATTTTGTTCTTGTTTTACGTTATCATATAGGAATTTTCTTACTGAGTGTTTGTAGAATAATGAACACTGGTTTATAGACAAACCATCGTTTTCTCTTTTTTAGTTATCTAGCTTGTGAAATTTGAAAAATGATCATTATGATATTTAGGACTCATCCCATAATTTCTGGAACCATTTGAGTCATCAATGACTTCCCGAAATTATATGCTTCATTAGCTCAGATCTGATGCAAGGGATGTCATTATTCTTTATGTTATTATTCTGTCAACAATCAAATCATTGAATAATCTTTGACATAGAGCTAGGCCCATCTTGGGAAATTAACAGCGGGGTTGCTGCAATAAATCTGTTAGCATCAACCTGATACATCACGAATTGAGCTTTAGCACTCAACAGCATTCACAAAAACAATCTCCTGAGAAACTGCCATATTTTAGCCTGACATGAAGTTTTGACATACGGTCGGTTTGTTTTAGATGTATGTTGTTTTGTCGCTGACTCAAGCGGTTTCAAACGGCTGGCCATGTAAATTTCTCGGTCATGTATAATCCTGCTGTTGGGGCTTCAGCGCAGCAATCATATACAAACCAAGTTGGAATGCCCTCCTGTGAAAGAGAGGATGGGATCAGGGCATGCGAAAAGAAAATTCAAAGCTAAATCTAACCTTCTGTAGAAGTACACCAGAAGGATAATTCACCCATGTCGCTAATCCTTGCCGTCTCATGTTTCTCGTCATGGAGGTGTGAGTTTGTTCAAGACCGTATGAATGGCAATAACCCATTCGTAGATACTCGTAACAATTGTGTGCAAATTTGAAAATTTATGTTCAGACAAGCATGTGCGGGAGGGGGCGGTGGTTTGGGGTCATCTTGGCAGAATATGTGGATTTTAACTGCTGAGGTGGCATTAGCATTGCCAATGCCCAGTGGGTTAATGATGAAACAATGTTTATTGTTGGAGGATGAGAGAGATGAGAGGATACGAGTTGGAGACCACAAAAGCGAGGATGCATTGGGAAGTGGCGAGAGCATGAAGAGAAGAGAAGCAGTCAAGGGATGTAGGGTGAGGAGTTGTTGGTGCAGATGGGGCGGGTGAACAGTAGTTGGGTAATGAGGGGAGTAAGATCATAAAGAAATCTTTGCTGGAGACAAGAGGGCAAAGTACGAATTGTACCGCCGCGAAAAGGAACGGATCATAATATGGGGCCCACCTACATGTGCTCCCCCGCACTCCTCCAACCTCTGCTCCTGCTTCCACCGTACTTGCCTTTGCACTTTACTTCCCTCCACTCCTTTCACTGTTCTATTCATTCTTTAACCTCATCATTTAAAAAACAAGTTTTGAGGAGTAGGTCTCTCCACATGAATGCCACCGGATGAGAAGTGCTCCCTCCAATTGAAACAAGAATGTTGGAGGGATCAATTAGGCGCCATTTAGATTAGTCACATCTAATTTGTAGAAAGTACTTTCCTGCTCTTAAGATGTAAGATGTTATTGAAAAAGTCCTTAAACGCAAATTCACTAAAAGCTATTAGGAAAGGCTTTTTAATTTGAAGATGGAATGTTGGGTATTTAATGGGAGAAATAAAAAAGAAAAATCATAATGTTTGGTCCTTATAGTTTTATAATATTTTGCTTTTAGTCCGTTTGTTTTTGTTGTTATCAGTTCCTGTAGTTTTTTTCGTTTATAAGATTAGTCCCTCCTATCACTAACGATGTTGATTTTGCTGAGGTGTAATTAATATTATTAAATATTATGCTAAAATGTTTAGTTTTGTCCAGTTCGCACATGACTCAGCATTTGTTTTGAATAAAAAAAATAAAAAAAGAAAGACTAATTACATTTAGTCCTGCGTTTCTCTTATCTATCATCTAGGGCAAAGGGGAAGACGATTCATAACGGCGGGTCACAAGAGCAACTGAGTAGACTGAACCTGAGTAATAAAGAATTTAGAAAAGATACATTGAATTGAGTAGGGCAATAGAGACCGCCAAATTGAGTAGTTAAGTAGCCATTGTTTAGAATGTCAAACTCATTTCAAATGGTCGTCTTCTTGAACCTGATTGTGTCGTCTTTTACCTTGTCTTTTGTCCTTTTCTACCTCTCTGTGCTATCATCTTTCACTAAGATCGTCCCCTTCGGTTTAGTGACAAATCTCATTCTCCATATCTATTTTGTACCTTGCAAGAAATTATGAAACCTTAATATTTAAACTTAAAACAGCAAGCTATTTCCAGAAATAGAGACAAAAAAAATTAGCAACCACAAAAATAGAGCAAGGGAGTAAATTTGACAATAACCAAGACAGTGATACACCAAATATTGAACGACAATGGAAATGAAATGGAGAAAAGCGACTTCATAAATGGGAAATGGGAGAATGAGAATGAGATTGTAGGAATGAAATTTAGAAAGCAAATAGAAAAAAACGTAGTCTACGTCCACGATTGGGAACATGTTATGAACAAAATATAAAGGTCATAACCTCTGTTTGATTTCGACTAAGGCAAAAAATGTGAGCAAAAATGGCTGAAATACGGAGCTCCGTCGAATAGTGGGACCCACTTTCACTGTTCCAGCGACTTTCTCGCTCTTTCTAATGACCTCTTTAGCATTTAGCTCAGCTTCGACTACAAGGGTCTATTGGTTGAGAGCTCTAATTGTCTTCACGCAAATGAGGTCGATTACTCTTGTTCTTATTTTTATTCCAACTCAATATAATTAGTCTTTCTTTTTTATTTTTTATTCAATACAAATGTTGAGTCATGTAATTAGTCTGCCGTTTATAATTGGGAATGTGAATCTTTCCTCACAATCATTCATATGTCTATCAGAGAGCAGCTTCTCCTTCGTCCACATGGGGAAGAGTATTTTGTCTTGCCATCTAGATTTTATAATTTTATATTTTCTTACATATTTATTTATCTGTATCTATATTTATGGAGAATTTTAACTGAAGATAAGAGATGTGATTTAATTATTGGTAGATTCCAAAAAAATTTAGAACTTCAATTTAATTTAGGAGAATTGAAGATGAAATAATTTCAACGATGAAAAAACTAAAATATCTTTTCCTTGTTAATTTTGTCTAATATACATAATTATTAGTTGTCAATTTTTTTATTTTATTTTTTAATTTATCAATATGAGTTATAAATTATATGAATTGACCTGTAAATAATCATATAAGATTTGAACATCAATTGTTCAATCACAGGCATCAACATCAGTTGTAAATTATTGATAGATTTTATAATTTATAAATAAAGTTAGCAAATTAATAATTAATATTACTCTTTTTTGACAAACTGATATAATTTACAACTCCTATTGATAAATTAACAAGTAAGAAAGTTAACAACTAATGATTCTGTATTTCGAACAAAATTAACAAGTGAATAGTACTTTGATCTTTTTACTATTAAAATTGTTTCACTGTACTAAAATGAAAATTTAAATTTTTCTAAAATTTACTAACAATTAAAACACACCCCTGATTTTTAGTTAAAATTCTTCCCTTTATTTATATTCATCCCTTTTATATCAATGTATCTATAATTGTATAATTTGTCACCAATAAAACATCTATACAAATTTTGTCAAAACAATCCTTTTGTGTATTTGACTTCTAAATAGATCTCTAACTTGTGCTATTCACTTGGAGATTAAATTGTACATCATAAAATAAATAAATAATTATATTACTTTTCAGTATTAATGTATTTTGAACAATTTAACATATCAAATTTTATGTTATTTAATTTTTTATATTTATTAAATATTTTTAATATATTACATTTGCATAGCAAAACTTACAAATCATTACAAAATAATTTTTTTTAATAATTGTCCATTTAAAAGTACATTCTACCATATATAATTCATACAATTTTCAGTTTATCAACTTAAATTTTTAAAAAATTATTTAAATATAGGTTTTATTATAACAATTAACTTTCATCAAATTAATTTTTAGCTAATAGAAAACCAAACAAGTACAACTGACGTAAAAATGATGGTTAGCATATGTCATGAGAAGAAAACAGTAAAGGAGATTAAAATCGAACAAAATGTTGCACTGGCTTTTGAATTTCTAGGAAATATTTCCCGTCGCTTTCCTGTGAAAAAATGACTTTATGCATGTATATATTAATATTCGATATTAATATACTTATATAGTAACATTTATAACATATTATATTCACATTCATAATTCATAAACAATATATTTTGTTTTTCATATTTCATTTACATAAAATGTAAAATTGACAACTACCTTGAACTGCTTGGAACTATTTAATATTTAATTTTGCAAGAGTTC